TTCTTTTTTTCCACTTCAAGCACTGGACGTATGTGTGCTGTCTGGGATGTATGTCAATGGAGAACAACTACTGTTTGATTACCCACATTCTTAAAAATATCTTCTTTTATGTTTAACAGAAAAAACAAACTCATACACATTTGGAACAACTTGAAGGTGAGTAAATGATGACAATTTTTATTTTTGGGTGAACTATCCCTTTTAATTTCCTTGCAGGGCAATTATTAACCAAAAATTACATATGAGGGGTAAAACTCACCGCTGTGTGCAGGAGTCTGTTTCGAGATCTCAGCAGGCTTTTGAGAAAGTTTACCTGATAAACACATACACAGAGACACAAACATAAAACATTAAAGTGTTAAAGTAATGCAAAACTTTTGTGTAAATGAGAGTTGAGAATGAGGGTGTGTACAAACCAGCAGGGGGAGCCAGAAACCCAGCAGAATACGTGACCAACACAGGCCGAGAGAGATTTCTGTACTCACACTGAATGATAGAGAGAGAGACATATATGAAATGTTTACTAGCAGATATTGACAGATGTGATTAGTAAATTATGTCATGTTGAGATCTAATTAGTGTTCATTTCTTCTAAGGATAATAATCATAAAGTATTGAATAGTTCTGGCTCCAGTTCCATTACATTCATGTATATTTTTATTCCTTATTTACTCGGTCTATTTTTTATTTTTTTTTATTTTTTATTATCATCTGTGTTTTTTGTTCTGTCACTGTCATTCTGTTACACTGTGGAAGCTTCTGTCACGAAAACAAATTCCTCGTATGTGTAAACATACCTGGCAATAAAGCTCATTCTGATTCTGATTCTTTTAGTACTTTTGATAATTAGCCCTATGCATGAGTTTGCCTCTGTGGCAAATGCAACTTCTGGTGAAGTACAGTGTATGGAAATTGTGAGAAAATTAAGAGACAGACAACAGGAAAAAGCAATGTTGATGCATTGCATCTTTAAATGCTTTTAAAGCTTATAGAATTGATTTAAAATGTTATTATTTAATAGAATATATAAAAATGTTATTATGTTACTATAGTTAATAATATGTAATACACTATATTATTAAATAATCAGTTGTGGATGCCGCAAGACACTTCAACGCATAGTGAGAGCAGCTGAGAAGATCGTTGGTGCCTCTCTCCCCTCCCTCCAGGACATTTACAGACCCGTCTCACCCGCAAAGCCTTCTGCATTGCAGGTGATCCCACCCACCCGACACACAGCTTCTTCAGTCTGCTGCCATCAGGGAGGAGACTGCGGAGTCTCCAGGCCAGGACCAGCAGACTGAAGAACAGCTTCATCCATCAGGCTGTCAGGAAGCTGAACTCCCTCCCGACCTTGCCCCCCTCCCCTCTTTTGCCCCACGCACCATGTGCTGCTTTATATATATTTTTTTTAATATTTTTTTTACATTTTACCTTATTTGTATATTTGTATAGTTGTATTTTATATTTAATCTGTATCTATCTGTATTTATGTTCTACTGTTAGTGTTATCTGTATGCACCAAGGGTCTGAGAGTAACACAATTTCAATTCTCTGTGTGTATGTGCTGTACATGTGGAAGAATTGACAATAAAGCAGACTTGACTTGACTTGGTAACTTAAAGAGCTACTACAACCAAACTGAGGGAATCAAAGAGAGAGTAAGTTATTTAATGATTCAAATCCCATAACTCATGGGTTTTAGACTCATTTATGAGTCATTAAGAGAACTGGGTAATAAGAGTCATTTTTTAGTCATACTTGTTTTAATAATTTTAATAATTGCATGCATTTATGAATGCTTCGAAATAGTGAATCATTTTGCGAAACAACTGATTCACTGATTTTGATTCAACTTATTCAAAGTTTCAAAAAGCTCATTTTCCCACATTAGTGTTCGTTACCTGTTGAGAAGCAGTTGTGTGTGTGAGAGCAGGTATCTGAGGCCCGTCTGTGCAGATCCGAGTGGCGGCCCCGGAGGGCCCCTTAACTGACGCGCACAGACGCAGCCGGCAGTGCAGGAACTGGATGGAGTTATTAAAGACGGGCCGCAGGATGAAACTGAACTGCAGCATGTTTGCACTCTCGCGTTCGTCCTCCCGTCTCTTCCGTCTGCGTTCTTCAGGTCTCTTTGCTCCGAGTCTGTCGGGTCTCTTGTCTTTATTTCGTCTCAGCTGTGACAGTCTTCTGTCATTTTTCCTGTAGATCTTCTCATCTTCATCATGTCCTGTGCTGTCTGTGGATTCCTGGGTTTCTCTGTGGCTCAGTTTGAAGGACGGGTCAGAGGGGCAGGAGTCTCTGATGATGGACCAGCCGCTGTGAGCAAGCGGATCTGAGAGAGGAGAGACCAGACACGACAGGACCTCCACGGCCTCCGCAACACCAGAACCCACCGAGATCTGACAGTGAGAAATAGAAAGAAATTACATTAATCAACCACTCAAATCATCCCAGCAACTACATAGCAGCAGCATAGCAACCATTTAGAACACCCCAGCAATCACATAGCAACAGTCCAGCAATCACATAGCAACAGCGTAGCAACCATTCAGAACACCCCAGAAATCACATAGCTACGGTCCAACAACCACATAGCAACAGCGTAGCAACCACTCAGAACACCCCAGCAACCACATAACAACAGCCCAGCAATCACACAGCAACAGTAGGGCTGGGCGATATAACGAATATTAACGATAATATCGCAATAATTTTGACGAATAATTTTTGTCATTTACAAACATTTTGTATTTACTTTGTAACAATAACTTCTATCTAAATTGTTTTTGTTGTTTTTTTTAATGGGGGCAAAAGAAATTCATGTTTTTTTATTATTTAAAAGCAAATGCAAACATATCGAGATATATATCGAATATCATACAAATTTTGACAATATCGAGATATATTTTTTTTATATATATTGCCCAGCCCTACTAGCAACCACATAGCAACAGCATAGCAACCACTCAGAACATCCCAACAACCACACAGCAACAGCCTAGCAACCACATAGCAGCAGCGTAGCCCAACAACCACATTGCAACAGCGTAGCAACCACTCAGAACACCCCAGCAACCACATAGCAACAGCCCAGCAATCACATAGCAACAGCGTAGCAACCACTCAGAACATCCCAGCAATCACATAGCAACAGCCCAGCAACCTCATAGCAACAGTGAAGCAACCACTCAGAACACCCCAGCAACCACATAGCAACACCCCAGCAATCACATAGCAACAGCCCAGCAACCTCATAGAAACAGTGTAGCAACCACTCAGAACACCCCAGCAATCACATGTGTAGCAACAGCATATCAACCATCCATAACACCCTAGCAACCTCACAGTAACATGAAAATAATAGAAATGTAACGCTATTGGTTGTACATATTAAGTTTAGTTTTTTTTTTACTATCCTTAATTACTCAGAACACCTTAGCCATATGCTAAAAGCCACCTTAGCAATCGTAGTAACTTATAAATAATAATTCTAGCAATATATACCACTTTCGTAATCTTACTAGTTCTTTAGAAAATATAAAAACGTAACACTAATATTTGTATTTTTAGTTTTAGATTTTATCTTTACTATTCTTAATTATTCATGTTTAATTTTTGTATGTATACATTTTTGTTCCGTTTGTTGCTAGGTGTAGGTTGCTTACAAGCTACGACTCTGAACTATTATTAGTTTATATTAGATCTATTTGCTGTTATTTGTGGGTAATATTTTTTTTTTCTACGAGTTTTCTCATTCACATCGTACACGACAAAGCTGCAAGTGTAGTTTGTTATTATGTCCATCTGTGGCCTTCATTGGCACACACTAATGAAACCTCCACACGGCGACAGGAGTCTCACGTCCTTGAGCTCTTTTAATCATGTTATGGACTCCACCGCTGTGCTATCATCCGCTCTGACCTTCACGAGATGCCAGAGAGGAAACAAGCACACAAACGCGACAGATAACGCTGACCTGCACGTAGACACGGTCATACGCGGTGATCACGCAGGGCCCCACGGCTCTCTTCTCGTAGGCCTCGGTGACAAACAGCTCCATGGACAGGATTGGAGTGGTGGGGCCTCTCGGCACCCAGGGACTGAAGCGCAGCGCCTCCACAGGCCTGGAGGAAGGAGTCATGTCTGTTGGACTCACAGGAGTGATCAGAGATGATGCACAGCTGATCTGAACAGAGAGAAACCAGACGAAAAAAAGTGAGCCACACATGACAAACATGCAGTTTAGAGCAATGGCTGTTAGGAAAAGAAATGTATGTCATTTACAAACTGTTTTGTGGTCAGTAAGATTTTATTTTATTGAAAGATATTAATACTTTTATTCAGCAAGGATGCATTCAATTGCTCAGAAGTGTCAGTAAAGACATTTATAATACTACAAGATAAATGCTGTTCTTGTGAACTTTCTATTCATTAAAGAGTCCTAAAAATCTAATTTAATATTGATAATAATTAGAAATGTTTCGTGAGCAGTAAATCAGCATATTAGAATGATTTCTGAAGGATCATGCGACCAGTGTTGGGGGTAATGCATTACAAGTAACGAGAGTTACGTAATCAGATTATTTTTTTTCCAAGTAACTAGTAAAGTGATGCATTACTTTTAAGTTTACAATAAAATATCAGAGTTGCTTTTTCAAATTAAGTATCTAATTTGATACAAAGTTACTTTGGAAATCAGGAGTGTGGTGCAGACACTTCCTTCAGCCGGAGGCTTATTAATTTCACTTTTGCTGTGAAAGGGCCTTTACAGTTGCTAAAAATGTAACTTTAGAGTTTTTTTGTTATAAAAAAAAAACAAATAAGCAAGCCCAAACCAGGTGACAAAAAGTGATGCAAAATGAATGAATTACTTTCCACATAAAGTAACTAAGTATAGCAATCAGTTACATTTTTATGGAGTAACGCAATATTGCGATGCATTACTTTTAAAAGTAACTTTCCCCAGCACTGCACGTGACCCTGAATACTGTAGCAATGATGCTAAAAAATTCAGGCATGCATTACAGGAATAAATTACATTTTACAATATATTCAGACAGAAAACAGCTATTTTACATTGTAATAATATTTCACAATTTTAATGTTTTAGCAATAGCAACAATCTCCCAGAACAACCCACACGGTAACAGCCTAGCATTACTATTATTTGTACAGTTTTAGTTTTAGCTGTCCTATTCTTAATTACTTATGTTTAATTATTGTATGCTACTGCCTTAATTTATTATTTTTGTTGAATTTGTTGTTAGGTGTTGGTTGTTTGCAATCTTTGCTGACTCTGAACTACTATTTTTGATTAGAGATTGAGAGACACTTAAAACCATAAAATAGATTTTAAATTGTAAAGATATTTCACAAAATTACTGTTTTTCCTGTATAGTTGATCAAATAAATGCAGCCTTGGTGAGCAATAAGAGACTTAATCTGAATTGTTATATATTGTTTCAAATCCGTAAAATATGAGCCTCCAGTTCCCATAACAGTTGAGATGCTGCCAAGTACACATTGAAGGTTTGAAACACTCACATGAATGGCTATCAGACTCATCTCGTCCAACACCCTCCCGCCTGTCTCATTGTTTAAACCCTCGGATGGTTTCTGTTTCCACAGGAACACCTTAAAAATACAGTTCAAATATATAGCAGTATGAAATGCGCCTTCTGCCTCTGTGTCTTTTAAAGACGCTCCCATCACCAAACCTGTTAATGGTTTGTTCTGCTGGATCTGGTTCAGTGTGACCCGGGTCATCTGTTTTTGGTGTGTGGTTACAGCTGACAACTTTATCATCTTCAGTGATGGCGAGGCGGTGTGACCCAGGTCAGGTTTATTTACTGCACTACAGGACCATTCTACTTTTATAATCATTTAATGGTACTCACTGAACATTCTCTTTTAATTCAACTAAATGACAGAATTTCAGTTGCATAACAGAATTTTATGCTGAAAACAAGACATTACATCATAGGTACATTGCTTATATACACTAATTTTACAATTGTGTTGAATAATGTGTCTCTCACTGTATTCGTGTAATGAACTCTTCCGTTCACTTCATCCAGTTCTCCCTCTGTCCCGCAGGAAATGACCGGGAAAAGCAACAGGAAATGGCTTCCATTAAATTCACCGTGGCAGTTGTGATCTCGCAGGGTCACTGCCGACACTGGAAAAATCTGTGTGTATATAAACAATTCAGTGAATCAAATTTGGACATGTAAAGAATATTGAATAATGTAACACACCTTTTCAGGCATTTGAAGTTGGTAAGATATTTATTGTTTTTGAAAGAAGTCTCTTCCAAGACTGCATTTATTTGATCAAAAATACAGTAATATTGTGAAATATTATTACAATTTGAAAGAACTGTTCTGTGAATATGTTGTAAAATTTCTGTGATGCAAAGCTGAATTTTCAGCATCTTGATCCTTCAGAAATCACTCTAATATGCTGATTTGCTGCTCAAGAAACATGTCAGTTTCTGGTTGCGTCACTTCTACCATCTTACAAAGAAGAAAAGAAGAGCATGGATGCGCATGAATAAGCCTAATTGAGATCTATTTTAAACTTGGCCTTCAATACGAAAACACTGTTTCTGTTCTTGCATTCCGACACAGATAAATCATCACTGAGCAGCATAAGAACATGCAGCTTTTTCCCTCAGGCTACATTCCACCTGAACAATATAACATCTCAGGACTGTCCATCTGTACATATCTTCTCAAAACTTTTCATCTGTAAAATAGCACATTCATAATTCTTTCTATTTTTTCTATATTTTGGACATAACTTTTCTCAACACATTTGCACACTCATAATTCTGTTTTATCTAGAAAGAATTATGAATGTGCTATTTTACAGATGAAAAGTTTTGAGAAGTTATGTACAGAACTGAGATGTTATATTGTTCAGGTGGAATGTAGCCTGAGGGAATAAGCTGCATGTTCTTATGCTGCTCAGTGATGATTTATCTGTGTCGGAATGCAAGAACAGAAACAGTGTTTTCATATTGAAGGCCAAGTTTAAAATAGATCTCAATTAGGCTTATTCATGCGCATCCATGCTCTTCTTTTCTTCTTTGTAGGGATGTACATCTCATAACTGAGGCAAATGCGATACGCATCTCAATGCATAGCGAACGATGCGATGCATTAAAGATGCATATGAAGCAGCTACCGATGTGATGCGTTACGATTCACCCCCATTACGATGCAGTGCGAACCGATTTCGATTCGATTCAACAATGCGTTTCGATGCAATGGAAAAAATATGATCGCTTTTATTTCTTTGGTTCAGACAGACAGCAAATCATATATTAAGTGTCTTCTGACTTCTAATGCCTCGAGGCATGTTTCATAAAACAAGTTTACCGAAAAAGCCAGGCTTATTTCCGTTAGTCTGACTCTCATTGTAAAATGATTTGGTTCCATAAAGCAAATTTAACGTAGATCAACCTCACTGTGGCAACTTATGCTGGGAAACTAACCTGTTCCAGAGCAGGCTAACTGTCAGACTAAGTTGAGTTCCTCTAACACTGACCAATAGGAACGCAATATTACCACTGATTCTCTCACATAGGCCTACTATTATAGCCATGCAGCCTTGATCTCTGGTTTTATGACAGCTTTACCTTTTATAGATAGCAGAACATTACAATCTAAAATTGCTCTTAAAAGCATTAAAATCACTAAATAAAAATAAAAATAAAGAAACAAAAAGTTATATATATATAAAATGGTTATATTTTACTCAGAATTATTGCGCTACTATTATATTGCGCATGCGCGCAGCCTCACCCACTCCTGACGGCAAAATGGATATATTTGCATGACTTTCTAACATTTACAGATGAAGAATATACCTGTGACATGCCAGTTATGCTCTGAGGAAAACACGTCTCAAATGCATTAAACAGCACAAATATATTCGCTGTTTGTGATGTTGGATCGATTTGATCCATGATCGACATTAAGGGCTGCTTAAGAATAGATTGTGTGAACTTAATTTGTGGTTTATGGAACCGCTTTAGCCTCGATTGATTTGTTAGGTTATTTCAAGTCAGGTTTTGGACTTTAATCACCGCTTTTCCTCAGGTCTCCGTTGTGTTTTGATACGTCATATTCACGCAGCAGCGGTGATGAGAGAACGCGCTTGAGAACGTTAAATATCGCATGCGATTTATCGTGCAGCCCTACTTTCTAAACAATAAAAATATATCGCATCCACTAGTAATTATATATAAATAAATAGTTTTTTACCTATACAAATATGTTAGAAACGATGCATCGCGATACAAATGCCAACGTATCTGTTGCACACTTTTTAAGTTTTATCGTTAAGGCCGGGACACACCAAGCCGACGGTCGGGCCGACAGCGAGCGACGGTCGGGCTAGTTTGTTTGGCGTGTTCCACTTGTCGGCTCTCATCGGGCTCACGTCAGCGGCAGTTTGCCCGATTCAACATGTTGAATCGGCGTCGGGGCTGTCGGGACCGTCGGTGCGAGTGAGAACTCTGATTGGATGTTCAGTTTAGCGAACGAGTCAGTGCCCGAGAATTAAAGCGAAAGTGGTGAAAACAAGCACGTAAATGAAGGCGAATAGATTGTGTGAACTTAATTTGTGGTTTATGGAACCGCTTTAGCCTCGATTGATTTGTTAGGTTATTTCAAGTCAGGTTTTGGACTTTAATCACCGCTTTTCCTCAGGTCTCCGTTGTGTTTTGATACGTCATATTCACGCAGCAGCGGTGATGAGAGAACGCGCTTGAGAAACAGTTTAGAGAGGAGAAATCAATCTGCATATAAAATATTGGTCACAGATTATTGGTCACTTTCTAATAGGGCTGCACGATAAATCGCATGCAATATTTAGCGCATCTTGTCAGTAAAGCCATTCTGTAATCAGCGGTAAATCTCCCATCACCTGCGGGCTTTCACATGGAGCAGCATTAACTACACAGAGCCGTTGTTCACTGACAAGCTGCGCAAAACATGCGCAAAATATGATCGTGGTTTTGCGCATTCGTCGCCGCTAGATCTTTGAAGTCGGCTTGGTGTCCCGGCCTTTATGGTTTATGCCGATGCACCGAGTGAATCTTCCCTACTTTTTTGTAACATGGCAGAAGTGAAGCAAAAAGTTTCTCATGAGCACGCGAAAGTCTTCATTTTTTAATTTTTTGCAAATATCCCCTTAGGGGCTCCGTAACATTTAGACTGAAATAAAAATTAATAAAAAACTATATGGACATATGAAAAAAATTAAAAATAACTAAATATGAGAAGAACACAATTACAAAAATTTTCTTTGATTAAAATTTAAAAGAAAGCAGAAATATAAATAAAAATTAATTAAAAAAATATAAAAACTATATCTCAATACTTAAATAACTTTATTTCTAAAGTTAAACTAAATGTATTTCTTTTTAAACAATATATGTATACACACACACACATGTATACACACACACACACATTTACTTTTATTAAAATGTACCTACAAATATGCACAACTTTAAAAAGCATAATGAAAGCAATAGTATCGCAGTGTGTCTATTGGTTACCTGTAGCATCCGTGTGTCCACAGTAACAGTAAGAGCACCGCTCTCACAGTGGCAGCTGAGCGCCTCACTGCTTCTGTCTGTCATGATGTCATCCTGCCCCCCGTCTGAAGAACTCAGTTCTGTGTCTGACCCTCCTGAACCACAGAGACGGCTCGGTCATAAACCCTAGTGAGCGAACCTCGCTGTCTACAAAGGCAGCTGCCTTCTAAGATCACATCCTAACTTAATCTACTGGATGCTTTTTAAAAAATAGTTCATGAAAGTGTAGTATTAAATAGATTTAATCTAACCTTGACTAAAAATCTGATCAAATATTCAAGAAAATGTTAAAAATCAGCCTTTTCCACCTTCTCTTAGCCTGACAACGAAGCGATTGGCCAGATCAGCCTCAGTGTACGAGGTCACTTTGGGAAAGCCGTTCTGATTGGCCCATTCTAGAAGGTCGGGGGTGCTGAGGAGGTCAGAAGTCACGGTGCTGGTCATGCAGAGGCTGGGGGATTGAGTTCGGTACGGCGGACTCACGCTGTTGGACGACTGAACGAGAGAGATGCAACTGTTCATAGATGAGAAAGTGTTTTTGGAAAAGCGCACAGGTTAGAAATGCAAATGTAACTTACATAGACCCTGACGTGGCCTTTGATCTCTGGAGCCACCAGAGCCCAGTTGACCGGAAGCGCACTGCTGAGGATCAGGACAATCCTGTGATACGCTGAACAAGCCACTGGAGGCAGCAGAGAGACAGACACCTCCACCTGCAGAGAGCTGAGAGAGAGACACTTTAACATTTATTATTTTATTTTTCACAGTATCTGTGGTGTGCTGTCAATTATGACAGAGAATCTGTTAAATTTCTGACATGGAAATTTGTTAAAATAAAAGAAAACAGCAATGGTCTTGTTATGGAGGCCTGGTAGGGAATCAGAAGGTTTAAATATATAAAAATGAAACTTTTTATTAAAATGAACTGAAAGGCAATGTATTACATTGATTCTTTTAAAACATTCATTATATTGTTTTTATTGTCCTCTTTAAGTCCTACTGTCAGACTCGAGCGCGTGGGACTGTGTCAGAAAGTGAACACGGATCTGTATACTGTATCCAGTGTAGACAAGACAGTGGCAGTGATTGTCATTTCTATTTGCTTTTGATGTGACACGACACTCGCATTTAGCGCGATCAAGTGTTAGCCGTTAGCGACTGAATGCCAGTGGGCAGGGCCTATGGTGAGAAGATGACTATTTGTCGATGTCTTGCTCTGGAGGCAGTGTTTATGCAAACGACAGCGCCCGGGTGACATCATCTTGCACCTCAGATACAAAGCGAGCTGTTTTTGGTGCTTGATTAAAGCTGCAGTCCGTAAGTTTTGCCTCTTTGTCGCCATCTCTGTTTGAAAACCTGCAATTGCTGCTGTGTGCGGAATTATCTTCCTTGCGTGGGTTGTGAGTCGGCACGGCTCCCGCTCAGATGAATCTAATGTTTTGAGGAGTATGTGTGGCAGTCAGTCACCGCACATTATTCTGGCTGCTGTGAGAAAAGGCTATAAACGATCCGCCACCTGCAGGATCCTCACATGCGATAGCCTAGTAGCCGGGACAACTTCTTTATGTTTACAGAAATGACGTAATGACGCAGCGACATGCTCGAATTTCCCACGAAATCCTACCCGTACCACTCAAATTAAAAAACATTATTATAAGATAACCGTTGTGAATCGGGCTAAAGTAAGGCGATAGTTTTGAACACTGGCTGGTTATGTACTTGCTCAAATATTGATTTTGGATCATTTTGAACCAAAAAAAGTTACGGACTGCAGCTTTAATAAAATTACTACTTTCTTTAAAAACAATCACAGATTCTAGCCTACGTCTTGGAATATATGACCCAAATAAGAATTTTCACCTTATATTGCCATCTGAACAAGTAAGTAACAAGTCTGCCACGTTTGTTCTGACCAACTGAGGAAAAAAGCATTACCATAAATCGTGCTATCAATGGTGATTAAATCTAAAGATCGGTTAGTTCATATCACATCAAACCGTGCAAATTATTATTGTTATACTTTTTTTTCTCAAATTGTTAATGTTAACAACATCAGCATTGCGTGACTATGTGAATAAACCTTATATGCCAAAAGATCAAGGCAAATTTGATTTCTCGTGTCATGACCCATTTAGTTCATTTATCCATTACGTCAATTTTAATTTCTTACTTTTTATTGTTTTTTTATTTTATTTTTATTTATTAGGCACCTTTTTATGACTTCTAATTAAAAAAAATTTTGTACATGTTTATGTAAAGCGTTTAAAGAAATGTTTCCATTTCTTCAATTTTTATTTCTCACTTCGTAGTGGTTCCCTATCGAATGGGAACTCGCACTGCGTCCCCTAGAGGACACTTTGACAGTTTCTGACAGTTTTTGACAGTATCGCTTCTTGCGTTCCCACTTTTTCCCTCCGTTTGTGTGCACAGATGTGAGAAGTACGCGGAGATGGTGGGCTATTCCGCGGCTCGCGTCCCACTTCCTCGGCTATGATCCTCACAATATTATAACGGTTGAAGTAGATGGGCTATATCGCTTCTCGCGTTCCCACTTCTTATGACCTGCAGTGCTTACCACAAGGGGGTTTCCCTCCGTTTGTGTGGATAGATGTGAGAAGTACGCGGAGATGGTGGGCTATTCCGCGGCTCGCGTCCCACCTCTTCGGCTATGATCCTCACAATATCAAGACGGTTTAAAGTAGATGGGCAGTACCGCTTCTCGCGTTCCCACTTCTTGTAAATTACCATGTGATAGCGGGGGTTCCTCCGTTTTTGTGCACAGATGTGAGAAGTACGCGGAGAT